GGCGCTAAGAGGGAGAGTACCCTAGATTCTCCCGGCATGTTTTAAACAGGCTGACAGTTTAATTTAAACCTTTAGAAGTAATATATTACTTGGGTTACTACAATGAGGTGGGTTCCTTTTTTTTTTTTTCTTTCTGTCAGCTGACAGCTTTTAAAATATTATTTCGCTAGGGAAATAAAAGCTTCATCTCAGATTATAGGTGGGTATTTTTGGATTTATGTGATTTATGGTCACCATGACAACTAATGCTGAACGTTAGCTACCAGAATGTCTGGGAGAGGGGAGACAGAAAGAAGGGAGAGCGAGAGAAGTAGAGAAGGCAGACACACAGAGCTGGGGAGGGGGAAGAGAGGAAGGAGAGAGGAGTGTGTTAATCCAGCTGCTGTGTTTTTCTGGTTTTGGGTTTTTTGGTTTTTTTTGTTTTTTTTTTTTTTTTTACATAAGTTACTTTAGTCAGTCCCTTGTCACTTCCCACTCTGGCTATTGATATTTATCTCACCCCCACCCATTTTTCTTCTCCCCCTCCCTTTGTCATTCTACCTCTCCCCTACCTCCAGCACACACTTTTCTCTTTTTTTTACTTTTCTCGACTAGTTGCATTCGGAGATTAAATGAGCACATATAAACCTGCAGCATCCACATGCAGATATGCAAAGGCGTGATGCGGGTTAGTGACCTCAGCAGCAGCCCGCCTCCCCAACCCCTTGCTCCTCTCTTCACCAGCCACTCTGGGTACACTACTGCCGCTGGACCCCCCAATTCAGTAATCCCAAACCTCACGTCACTCAGAGTATGAGACAGAAATGTGGGACCCAGAGAGCAGATGTTGCTCAGTAAATCCTACAGGCTTCTGATTCAGAGACAATCAGTGCCTTTTCCAAGCCAACACTTTTAAAACTCTATATAAGGAATGGAAGGAAAATTGGATCACTCTAAAGTCATAATTTGGGGGCACTTCAACTTCACGGCACTGGGGTCAAGGGCTTTTCAATTAGATTTGTATAGGAGAAAAGTGAGGCGGAGGAAGGAGAGAAGGAATAGCCACATCTTGGGCAGGTGCAAAGTCTCCCTGCGAGCGCTGTGACTTGCCACGCACACTCCAGACCTGCACACAGGCCTGTCACGTGGCTCCAAGCTGGGTCAAGTCCTTGAGCTATGACTGGGACAGGACACCCACCCCAATTCAGCCTGAAAGCCAGGGAGCCATCTTCCAGGTGAACTATGAGATCAGATTTTTTTCTAAAAATTGTGGATGGCGAGGCTGGGTCCCAACCCATACTGCAGATTCGGGCGGGTCCGCGGCAAGCCTGACTCTGGCGGTGCGGCCCGCCCATCTCCCCGCGATGGCCAGAGGGGTTTGCAACTCACATAAAGCGTGTGAAATTGAATAAGACCTTAAGACTGGTAATCGGTGGCAAGTACCAGCTCAAAACGCGCCTGACCCCGTGTCACACATTTCACTCCTCTGGGGTCTTTCTTTGAAAGAATAAGCAAGAAAACTCAATTGAGATGATCCCTGATGTCTTGGGACTGGAAACCCCAAACCGGCACTGGGCTTCCTCCCGACCCATGGAGGCCTTGAGTGCCTCCACTTTCCGTGAACCCAACACGCCGATTTTTTGCTGTGTTGAAATTTTCTGTGATGGAGGCTGAAGTCCTAAGAATTTCTAGAATCGGCCAAAGAAAAGTTCCGGGGTTACCGGGAAGGCACAAAACACAAGCTTTCTTTGCTTCCACCTCCTTCATCTATACTGCCTATGTCTGTGCACAATTTTTTGTACAATCAGTTTCCAAAATTTCTGGGCACCAACACAATTTTCATGGAAAAGCATTGCTTGGTTCCTCATTACAGCCTTGCCTGTCCCCATCTAAGATTCATGGTGGAGACATGCTGCCTTGCATGGGCTGAGTCCTGGCTTCACTGCTGGGCCTGGGGAGGGTGTCATCCAATCTCAGAGTGTGCAAAAATGATTAGGAAAAAGTTGGAACTGGCTGGGAAAATGGAGTGAAATGTCTCACTGGCTCAATTGTTTAGAATGCCGGTTGGAGGAGTATGAATGGATGTGTGGATAGGTAGGTAGATGGACAGATGCTAGATAGATATTGTTTTTATTCTCACCAGCATTCTCTAGATACTTGTCTTTATTCTCCACTAGCGTTTGCAAGGATCTACGTAATGGTAAGATTCCTTATCTTTTTAGGCTTTAGGCTACCTGAAGATCCTCAGCGCTGCCTGAATCTCCCACACTGTGCTCTGTGAGGAGTTTTCCCTTGTTCTTGGGTGTTTCACCCCAGTTTGGGGGCTGGTTAAGGTTTTTTCATACATGTCTATTTGCCGGGGTGGGTGAAGAGCCACTGAGCTGAAATCAAAATTCTATGGGTTTCATGAGAAATGGACTTAGGAAACCTCAGCTCTTCCTAGTACGGAGTTTGAAAACCACCACCCAAAATTGCAGCTTTGGGGTGTGAATCTCAGAGAAACAAGGAAAAGGTATGTACGGTCGGTGCGGTGGAAAATCGTTCCTTCTTTGATATGGTGGAGTTTCTTCGTGAAGTGAAGCTTTCGGGACATAGTGTTGTGGAGCTATCACAGAGGTTTAAAAGAAGAAACTAGAATATGATTAGTAAACACGTTTGGCAGAAGAGGGCTAGATTCGTATTGACTTAGTTATAGGTCATCGGCTGGCAGTGCAATGGGAGGAAATATTTACTTTACACATATACTTTATGATCTTGGGGGAATTAGAGGAAATTCAATAAGAAAACGGCTAGAAACATTTAAAACCCTTATTTAAAAGACTTAAGCAAATTAGAGTCTTATCAGATTAAAAACCACTACAAATGTAAGAGCATTGTCTTCAGTGAAATGCTGTGGGGTCTGCGAAGGAGATTCTCCGCCAAATCTCAGGGATAAAACGCGTCATTTAAGCACCAGATAATGAGCAGAATGTAAATTAATTTAACCTTCTTTACCAACAGACTGCTGGCGTAATATGTATAATTTAGTGATAAGATTGCAGGGCCTAATATAGCGGGGTGTGAGAGCCCCCCGCTCAGGCAGACCCAGCACATGGCTCTGATCCGTTCTGACCGGGTGTGTGGACAGGCAGGAGGGACTGAACTGAAACACAAGGTTAAAACCAGAAATGCTCATTTACAGGTGACTGTGAAGAAAGTTTCCCCTTGTTGCTAAATTCATCTTAAAGGGGATGATATTTGTGGGAGAGACTGAAGAACAATTCTCATTGGGGGGGGGGGTGTCCGACTGCTCTGGAGTGCACTTGAAGAAAGGGAGCAGTCAGTCACAGGTAGGCAGGGTGGCGGAGCAGGGCAAAGGAGACAGGCAGGGCGCAACCATTTCTGCAGTCTGCTCCATCCACTCGGCCCCAGACCAGAAGTTTCCCAATCTCATGAACAAGGACAAGAAGGGAGTTTTCTGAAGATACCTCAGACTGGAGTTGCAAATCATTGACTGTAATGTCAAACAAATACACATTCAGGCACGATAACACTAACTCCACAATAAAGCAATCGCCAATGCAGAAACCCGGTGGAGATTAGTCTGTGCTCTCCAGCTGACCTAAGCCGAGGACAAAAGGACTTTCAGAAAATTATTTTGTCTGTGTTTGAATTTCTTTCCTTAGTTTCTTTGGCAATCAACTCTCTTTGGACATAAGACTGTAAAGAGTTGGCTCTCCCTGAAGATGTTTTTCTTTGCTTTATGTAAATGAATAAGGCTTTGCTTTTCCTAGCTGGGCGGTCTCCGAGGTCTCCCCCCCTCCACACCCCCCCCCACACCCCACAGTCGCCCACACACTACCCGCCTCTGCTTGCTTGGACTTTAAGGATTCAAGACAGCCTTGAGCTCCCTAGGAAAATAAAATGATTTTAAAGTTATCCTTGAAATGGGCTATTTGGCAACATTCTTAATTGTATGGAAATTCATTAAAGCATATTTTATATATAATTAGCTCAAGGTTGTTGATTCTGCGGGCTTTATGGATTTGAATCTGATTGATAATAAAGTAAACAAGAGAGTCGAATTTAAAGCGTGGCGTTCTCTCTCGGGTTAGGACAAGCTTAATGCAGTGTACAAGGAATCTGAAAGATCTAGGATATGTATCTTAATCAACGTTAAGTAGAATGGATAAGCTTTCAGTATTTTGAAAATGCTGGGTTAGGGTTTCTAGTCTATTGTGTGTTTTCTGTCTGGGGACTAATAAGCATTACAGAGAACGTGATCCGAGGCGACTTTTCATTCGAGTATAAATCCAGAGTGAACCACCAAGCAGTTGTTCGTTTAAAGTCAAGGTAATTTGCTTGTGACGGGTCCATTTGCTTCTCGATTTCTAATTTATTAGTCTGCTTTCTCAGAGGTCTCCCTTCTTTGCAATTAAAGCAAAGCTTCTTCAGCTTAGCGCAGCATTCGCTGGACAGGCTGTTTGGAAATTTTAAGGTCAGAGCGGTGACTGGTTTGGTGTTTTGAAAATTTTCTGGCTTTCAGAAACATGTGTCCCTTCTATGGGTGTGCGGGGTGGGGGTGTGGAGAGGAGACACCCCTCTCGGTGGGATGGAGTGACTCACAAAAGCGGTGGCGAGCGTGTGCGGGTGTGCGCTTGGGGGTCACCAAGCCGCTCCCTGCACCTTGGATCCCCTCTACCTTTCCACTACGTTCCCACGAGCCTGCGCCTGGCCCCAGGCCTCCATCTCCCCGGCCGAACTACAAACCGGGTCGTCTAGGGCTGCACCGGAGAATTCCCGGGAGCCGGCGGTGTAGACCCGGTGGGCACCCCGAGGCACTAGCCCGGCCCCGCGCAGCTGATAGGTGCAGGCCGGCCCGTCCCTGCGCCGTGGCTCGGGGCCTCGCGATTGGTGCGGAGCCGCGTCACTCCGCCCGCTGAGGGTCTGGGAGGGAGGCGGAGGGAGGGCCGGGGAGGGCCGGGGAGGGCCCGGGCGGCGTGACGTCTGGGCCGCAGGAAGCCCGCCTCTGGTTTTAAGATGTTCGGCCAACAGGGAAGCGCGGAGCCGCAGAGCTGGTCCGTCGCTCGCCGGGGTGCCGGGAGCTGAGCCGCGGGGAGGCCGGGCTCCAGCGCGCAGCCCGAGGGGGTGTGCGTGTGCGCGCCGCGGAGGGCGCACCGGGAGGGCGCACCGGGAGGCCCCGGCGGCCGCCGCCGCGGGGGATCTGATATCAGCTACCTGTCCCTGTCACTCTTGACACTTCGCCGTCAGGGCTGCCGCTCGGGGGGGCGGGCAGAGCGCGCGCGCTCGGCGTTAGCTGCCCTTATTGGAGGGGTACCCGGGGGAGGGAGGGAGGGAAGCAAGGGGTCTTTGCCACTCTCGTTTCGGTTCGGAGCTCGGGAGCCAGCTCCCCAAAGACGCACCGCGCCGCGCCCGCCTGCGCCCACCCCCATGTCTCCGCGGGCCCGCTGACTCTTGGCCGCCGGACCCTTTCGCCTGAGCCTTCCGAAGGAGACGCGGCGCCTCGGCTCGAAGACTCGCGGGGGGCGCGTTCCCTGGCTCGGCCCCCGGCGGCCCACGCAGCGGGGACTGCGCGCCCGGAGCGCGCCGCGGAGCCGGCGGCGGCCACGGGGCTTCGGCGGGGCGGCAGCCCGGGACTCGCGGGGCGGCGCGCGCCTTCGCCCATGAACTGCATGAAAGGCCCGCTGCACTTGGAGCACCGCGCAGCAGGGACCAAGTTGCTGGCCGCCTCGTCGTCGTCCTCCTGTCACCATCCCCAGCCGCTGGCCATGGCTTCGGTCCTGGCGCCCGGTCAGACCCGCTCGCTGGACTCTGCCAAGCACAGGCTGGAGGTGCACACCATCTCCGACACCTCCAGCCCCGAGGCCGCAGGTAAGGCGCCGCGCGGCCCGCGGGGGCCCCCGCTCCAGCCGCCCCGCGCCGCCCGGCCGGCTCGCCCCGAGGAAGTCGGCCCCTCCTGGGGAGGCGTGGCGGGAGTGGGCGCCCCGCGGGCTCCCCGCAGCGCTTCCGGAGCAAGGCTCCGGGTGACCCCGCGGCGCGCACCGTCCTCGCCACCCCCGCGGCTGGGCTGGCACGAACCGCGTGGGCAGTCCAGCTGCCCTACTTCTGCCCCGGCCTTCCTCCTGCCTCCCGGGTCACGAAAACCCCAGTCTCCCTCCCGAGACGTCCTGCGCCCGCCCCCGACCCTTCCCGGGCCCCGAGCTCCCCTCTGCGCTAAGCTCCCGGAAAGCTCCCCTTACTAGAAAAGTATTTCGGAAGCTACGCCTCGGAGAGGGTCTTCACCAAGGCACGGGTTTTCTTCTTCAGGGCGGAGAAACTTGGGTGTCTGACCGAACCCCAACCTTGCCTTCCGGAACAGCACAGAAATATGAGCTTTCGCGGAGGGGGTGGGGGTTGTCTGGGAACCGCGCGCCTGTGCGCGTCCCGGGAGGTCTGGTGTGTCTGAGCAGAGGCGTATAAATACACTTGAAAGCACAGGCTGTAAAAATGAATATGCCGTCGCCATGAGATAAACTTGTAAATAAAAAGCGCGGCGCCGGGGAGAGGAGGCGATGCGGCGCGCACACCCCGAGACGCTGCGCTCGCCGCCGCCCGGCGCGCCCCGGGGCTCGGGCTGCAGGTGGGCATGCTGACCCGAGGCTTTCTGTGTTGCGTTTTTTCAGAGAAAGAGAAGAACCAGCAGGGAAAAAATGAGGACGTGGGCGCCGAAGACCCGTCCAAGAAGAAGCGGCAACGACGCCAGCGGACCCATTTCACCAGCCAGCAGCTGCAGGAACTGGAGGCCACGTTCCAGAGGAACCGCTACCCGGACATGTCCACGCGCGAGGAGATCGCCGTGTGGACCAACCTCACGGAAGCCCGCGTCCGGGTAGGCGCCCGCACGGGAGGGCGACCCGGGAGGGTGTGGGAGAGGTGCCGGCCGCGCAAAGCCACGAGGGCGCGCGCAGGCCCGCGCCACCCAGAAAGGCGCGGGTGGGGAGCCTTGGCCAAAGCTGGGGGCCTCTCGCGGCGGCCCCACTTACAAGGTTACAGCTCCCCCTTACGAGGCCGGTGGCGGCGGCGGGCCTGGCGCGGGCGCCCCGGGAGGGCGCCGGTTCTCGGCCCCGCCACCCCGCGCCCTCCCAACTGGGCCGCATGGCAAGCTCCCTGCACGGGGCATTATGTTCACGGCTGGCAGTCGCCAGGCTGAGCGCTAATAACATCCCGTCCAGGCCAGGAGCCCAGAACAGGCTCCAACCTGTGCGCCTTTAACAAGGAAAACCCGCCAAAGACACGCAAGGGTTGGACCTCCCTGGGAAACTTTCGATCCCGGCATGGCCCCACCTTTACTCAGCTCGCCCTCCTCACACGGTCTTGGCGGGCTCTTGGCCATTCAGCTCTCTCCCACACCCTTCCTCCTGGTTTTGTGATCTCCGGAAACAAAAGTCTGAGCGCACAACTACCCTCCTAGTCCTCTTAGAAAGAAAAAAAAAAAAAAAAAGAAAACCTTTTCAGTCTGGTTTATTTACCTTTTCTCAATAGATTGCATTCACCCCTTTAATCACAGTGTTATTAAAGAAAAAGCTTACCTTTGCAGCAAGTCTGTACTATATGAATTGGCAAAAATGAATTTTAAATAAATGACCCAGTAGCAACATCCGGGGGTTACGCTGGTCGGCAGAAAACTCCCAAGCCTGTTAGGATTCTGGAAGCAGAAAACACACACAGCAGGATCCCGAGGCTTTGCTGTAGAAAAGCCAAAAATGCTCTGGATAGAAAAATGGAGCCCCCAGTTACAGCGCGGAGCCACAAAGAAGAAAACTTTGCGTGCAAACCCATCGCGATGCAAAGAATAAAGACTGAAATGTGCTCCCACAGCAGAGCGAAGGAAGACGGTCTCTGGATGGCGTTTCTGTGGAGAGTGAAGATGTGCCAGCGGATTCAAGAGCCGGGATGGAGTAGGAAAAGGTTTTAGTTTAACCGCGCAGACCTGGCGCCCCGGCCGGGGCCGCGTGGTGCTGCGCAAGGTCAGCCCTTCTTTAGTCTCCTGCCCAACAAGGGAACGCGCCCCGCACGTACTTTTCTCGCCAGGGCAAAGTTTACGCGGCCTAGGATAGAAATGGCAAGTAATTAAAACAAAACCCTAACCCCCGTGGGTACTCTGGAATCCTCCGGAGCCCTCCCCGGCCCCCTCCGGCTTCCCTGCAAACCTGCCCGAGTCCCCGGCCGCCGCGCCGCGCGGGGCTCGCTCGCTCCAGCGTCTCCAGCGTCTCCAGGCCGGCGCGCCACGGGCCGAGTGGGAGCGAGACGCGCTTTTTATAGCAGGCGGATGCACAGGGGTAGGGGGATGAAAAGGGAAGAGAGGATGAAAGGAGAAAGAGGGGGAAAACGGATTAGGAGGCTGGGCCCAGCCGAGATTTGTAATGTGAAACATCACCGGTGTCAGCTCGGAGATCTCGGGCCAGGCCTCGCTCCAATACACAAAAGCCGCCGTCTGGGGCGACCGGCGGGCTCGATGTGGATTGAGAGCGGGGTTGCGGCGGGGCCAGCGGACGCGGGTGGGGGTTAGGTAGGACTGGGGGCCCCGGCTGCGAGGCGGAGGGACCCGACCGTGCCCAGCCCAGCCGGGGCAGCGCGCGCGCGCGGGGTGGCCTGGCTGGGCGCAGGGCGGCGGCAGTCAGAACGGTTCTGGATTCCCTGCGATTTACAAGCCCAGCTCGTGGAGTTTAACGAGCTGTCGGGGAGGTGGTCTTTGGCTTTTTATTTGGTAGTTTTGCTAAGCGAGGAAGGGGGTCGCGGCTCTCGCCAGTGGAGGCCTCACGCTCCAGGGGGAGGCGGCGCTGGCGGCCCTAGAGGAGAGGGAGGAGCTCTGTGTGTGCGTGAGTGTGTGTGTGTGTGTGAGGAGGGGGGGCTTTGGTGCCCTCCGAGCCCTATATCCTCATCTCTGAGTCTGTGGCTTTGGAATGGAAGCAAGTTTGCGAGGCGGCTGGGTGGAGAGCCTGCGGGCCTCCATTTGTTTTGCCGTAAGTGTGTTTTGCACCCTAAAGAGGACCTGGGTTCTGAACTAGCCGCCCACAGGCCGCCCTGGGCGTTTGGCTGGGCCTTGTGGCCCAGTGGAGAGCCCGGGCTCGCAGGCCTGAACCTACCCTGAGCCCCCGCCGGCCCGGGGCTGCGCGCCGGCTCCCCGCGCGCTCCTGCTGCCGGGGCGCCGCGGCTGGGGAGCCCGTGGGGAGGGCGCGCGGGTGTGTCGGAGAGAGGTGGCTTCTGCTTTCCGGGATCAAGCTTTTGCTAACCCGATCTGTGGCGTCTGTTTGCTCCCTTGTCCGCCACCCCCAGGTTTGGTTCAAGAATCGCCGGGCCAAATGGAGAAAGCGAGAGCGCAACCAGCAGGCCGAGCTGTGCAAGAATGGCTTCGGGCCGCAGTTCAACGGGCTCATGCAGCCTTACGACGACATGTACCCGGGCTACTCCTACAACAACTGGGCCGCCAAGGGCCTCACTTCGGCCTCCTTGTCCACCAAGAGCTTTCCTTTCTTCAACTCCATGAACGTCAACCCCCTGTCGTCGCAGAGCATGTTTTCCCCGCCCAACTCCATCTCCTCCATGAGCATGTCGTCCAGCATGGTGCCCTCCGCGGTGACCGGCGTCCCGGGCTCCAGCCTCAACAGCCTGAATAACTTGAACAACCTGAGCAGCCCGTCGCTGAATTCCGCGGTGCCGACGCCCGCCTGTCCGTACGCGCCGCCGACTCCTCCGTACGTTTACAGGGACACGTGTAACTCGAGCCTGGCCAGCCTGAGACTGAAAGCCAAGCAGCACTCCAGCTTCGGCTACGCCAGCGTGCAGAACCCGGCGTCCAACCTGAGCGCTTGCCAGTACGCGGTGGACCGGCCCGTGTGAGCTGCTGCGCCCTGGGCGCGCCGGGATCCTAGGACCGTGCCGGACGGGGCGGCTCTGCCCTTGAAAGACTGGGAGTTACGCTAGAAGGTCGTGGGCGCAAAGGAAGGAGAGAGAAAGAGAAGCTCTAGAGAGAAAAGGAAACCACTGAATTGCAGAGAGCTCCTTTGATTTCAAAGGGATTTCCTCCATGTCTGACAATCTTTCACTAAAAGTATTTCCAACAGTTGCGAGGACACACACCAATGTTTGACTGGATATGACATTTTAACATTACTATAAGCTTGTTATTTTTTAAGTTTAGCATTGTTAACATTAAAATGACTGAAAGGATGTATATATATCGAAATGTCAAATTAATTTTATAAAAAGCAGTTGTTAGTAATATCACAACAGTGTTTTTAAAGGTTAGGCTTTAAAATAAAGCATGTTATACAGAAGCGATTAGGGTTTTTCGCTTGCGAGCAAAGGAATGTATATACTAAATGCCACACTGTATGTTTCTAACATATTATTATTATAAAAAAAATGTGTGAATATCAGTTTTAGAATAGTTTCTCTGGTGGATGCAATGATGTTTCTGGAACTGCTATGTACAACTACCCTGTGTATAACATTTCGTACAATATTATTGTTTTACTTTTCAGCAAATATGAAAAAAAATGTGTTTTATTTCATGGGAGTAAAGCATACTGCATACAAATCGGTCTGGATTCTTTCTGCCCTCCTCCTTGTCGTCTGGCCAGGTTTCTCAGTCACTGCCTCCTGAGCAAGCCAGTTCCCTCTGCCCGCCTAGTGAAACACTCAATGCAACAGCATCTACTTAAATTTGATAGAAATAAATTATAGTCACCAGAAACTAAAAAAAAAAAAAAAAGGGGGGGGGGAGAGGCATTCCCGGGGGGGAAAAAGAAGGCTGCAAAGTCTGGTCTTGTCTCCCAGATTTTTCTTTGGCTTAAACCCAGAGGATTCCATTAGTGCCAGCAAGTCATATAAGACAGAAAGAAATTTAGAGAGTAGGCCAACTTACAGTGACTCTCGAAGTTGCGGGGTGGGGGGCTCGAGGGGGGGCCTGCACCTCCAGTGAATTGTTCTGGAGAAGTGTGTATGTACACACGTACAGTTTATATGCATTCCTCAAGAGGAATACATCTATAATAAGTTTACAAGGAAACACCTCTAGTTCAAAATATTTAGGCCTCTGCGTTTATCTTTCAGGATTAAGTACAGAGATTCTTCATGTTATATTGCATTACTATTTCCAAATCCTTTCGAGACATTAAAAGAAACAAAGACCATTTCTAATAACTGCAGCCCTTTAATTTCTCCAAGAGCCCAGGGGTTGAGAGGTTAGAGTGGAGTTTCCTGAGCCTTGTCGGGCAATATGTAGTTGAGGCAAAGGTCATGCTCCCAGTGTTTTGTTTTAAATAATATTGACCCATTAATTCTAAACCTGCTTGTTCCTGAAATTATACAGGATTATAGTTTGCAAACTGCGGGACAATGAAGCAAATCAAGATGAATTACAGCCTGGCCCTCCCTACCAAGCCCTGACATCTAAACGGGAGTGATATCGGTGTGAGTGTTTCAAGGAACTTTAAGTGCCGGCTCTCCCTCTGTTGGTGGTTTTCAGAGTTTCTTTTTTAATGTGACATTTGATTTCCCAGCTAATGGCAGCAAATACGATTAGTTGCAAAGAACTCATCACCAAGAGCTGGGGGGGGGTGTGTGGGGGGGGGTGGCGCGGGTGTTGGGGGGCAGTTGGGAGGTCTCTACTAATCTGGTGCACCCTCTGCTCTCTCACCCCCACCCCCACCCCGCCCCCCTCGGACCAAGACAAACGCAGCCCTAGAAACCCGGGAGGGAAAAGTCACTGAGGATTTCTGCAGCCAGAAAACCCGTGTTCTGGGGCTTAGGTTGTTTTTTACTGATGGGAAATTTACCTATAAGCTTTTGGAGCCCAGACACCGAGTCTTTGTTCTGCACCGGGCCGCTGCGGCCACTTAGAGACGTCGCAGATAAAGTCCCCGATTTAAGAGCAGTGCTCGATGCACATGAACTGAACTTTCTTTCTTTTTTAAGCTCTGCCCCCGACCTGCGGCGGCGGGAATCACGCGGCCCGTGGGGGGGTTGTGGGGGGCGGGCAGCTAAAAGCCCTTTGGACGAGGGTCACCTTCGTCCTTGTTGTTCTCTTGAGAGCAGTGGAGAGGAAACCGGTCCCCACGGGCGGACTTTGGCTTCTGGAGCCGCGGGGCCCACCCTTCGGGCCTCCCCGCGAGGCCGCCGGTTTGGGGGGGAGGGAGCAGGGCGTGGGGGAAGGGCCGGGAGAGGGATTTGGGGGTGGGCCGTGGAGGCGCTAACTGGACTTTTCGGGAGGATTTGCTTCTCCTGCGGGTCCGGCAGAGGGACCTGGGAGCGCTGGACAGAGGAGCTGCCTCTGGGCCTGGGGAGCTTGCTGCAGCAGAACCCTGGGCCAGGAAATCAATCAATGTGCAGGAAACAAAAAACAGAAGTCGAGATTTGGGAAGAGTTGTCACTTCTCCGACTGGAGTGGTGCGGGCTGGGGGCGGAGACTCAGGGCTGATGAGAGGGACTGATGAGAGGCCCTGTCTCCCTAGACTTCCAGAGGAATTAGCGGCCTCACCCCCCTCTTCCCCACACCCTGGCGTGCTCACCGCCGGCCCCGATCCGCACCTCCTTTTCCCTGGGAGTGAGAAAAGCTCCTTCCCGAGCCAGCGAGCCGGTCCCCCGCCCCTCCCGCTGCCACGCGGGTCCCCCCTGGTCCAGCCACCTCGACTGCCACCACCTCGGTTCCACTCAATCGATTTTTGCTGCATGTCAACAGTTATTACCGGTGAGTGTGAGGCTATTTTTTCCCCCTTCCCTGGGTCTCTTAATGATTTCTGAGCTAGTTGTATATTAAAGTGCTTAAAGGAACCTTTAAGGTCATCTATACCATGAACACTAACCTCTTCCGCTTGGATCAAAGATGGCGAGCCCGGGGGTCTTCCCCAGCCCAGGCCTCGCGGGCTCAGCACTTTGCCCACCTCGGTGCACCTAGGGGCTGGGGCTCTGGGGCTGCAAACTCAAGCTGACCAGGCGGGGCCCGGCCCGGGGACTTTCTCCCCCGCGCTCCCACCGCCACCCCAGCTCACCTCACCAGTTCTTCCAACCCTTTCTCTGGCCTGGTCTCGATTTTCCAACTTGTTAATGTAGCTAAGGCCCCCAACTCTTCATTCCCCTATTTCCCCTTCCTTCCCCCGAATTCGAGTTGGCGGAGACCTGGGGAACCGTGTGCACAGCGCACGTTTGTTCCCATTTCATCCCAGTGCCGAAATCTGGATTTTGCTATCCACAACTTGGTTAGAAATTTTAATTTTTTGAAGAAATGCTGGCGGGCTGGTGAGCGGTGTAGGCGGTTGGATGAGCGGGCAAGTCCTCTTTGCCTCACAACACCCTCTTGCTTTGAGATGCTGACATGGGGAGTTCCTTTAGGAGTGTCACCAAAAAAGAGTGGGGAAAATAGCATCTTAAAAGTCCCACTATTCCTCGAAAGTCCCATAAATTATCCCTGTGAAGGGGGGTGAATTCTTTTAAGGGGAGTCTATAAAAATCCACCCCATCTTGATGGAGGACAACCCTCTCCCCAACCTAGACGCAAATGGGAGTGAAACAAAGGTCGGGCTGCAATCCACATCCTAATCCACAGCGCCCCAGTCACTGTCGCCCGGCTCCCCAGTCTCCACGGCCCAGACCCAGCGCTCTGCTGGGAGTCCCCAGCTCACCAATTTAAAATTTTAGGGCGGAGGAGAGGGTGTAATCAGATCAGAGGGCTTTAAGCATACAGAGTTCCTATTGACTGACTTATAAACCCCACCACCAGCAGATCTAAGCACACAGGGAGCAAGAAACATGGCTGACTGAGCGAGGTCTCCCGGTAAACCCAGACAGTTCTGGTAGCAGGTCTTTGGAAGGGACTTTAAAAAACTCTCCTTCCTTCCCCAGCCTCCCTAATCGGAAAATTGTGTTTAAACGGAATTCGAGAAAATGGCAACTTAAGGCGAGTTTTTTTTTTTTTAAATGGGTTAGGTAGAAACCCAATCTTAAACACATAACTAATTTATCATTTCAGGTTTCAGCAGACAAACCCTGGAGATTTCACTCTAACCTTAAAAGTATATTTATCGCCCTTGCTGTCCCCTCCCCCACGCAGGGACGCCTTCTCATTGTTGACTTTCCATCTGAAAGGCAGAACCCAGAATTTATTGTGCTTCTTGTGCATTACTTCATTCACTTCTGTGCTGAGTGTTTTATGCATTTTATGTAAATGTTGATTTTAGATTTTATTTGAAGATTAGAGAAAGCCTGCAAGAAATAAAATATCCCACTGAACTTAATTCTACTTAATTGCCTTTAAAAAAATCATTGCTCCTCCTGTTGTAATAGTTGTTAACAGTTTGGTGGCAGTTGGGGAAAACAGGGAGATTCTTAAGGCTTAAGTTATTCAGCCAAAGAACAGATAGAAAAAAACTAAATTCCTTTTAAAAATAATTCGTTAAGACATTTAGTGACTGTATGATAAAGGAGTTTACTTTGGTGGGGGCTACATTTTTCGAGAAATTCAGACTTCTTGGGCCCTTCCTGAACAGAGTCCCTGTCTACACCCCCTGCTTTTGATGGTTCTTTCTAGATCTAGTTCTTAGTCTTCCTGCAAACATGCTTAAGGTGTGACCCCCACCTCCCACCTCTCTGTGTCTTTCTGAGGCTTTCCTCCGCTTTCCTGTTTCCTTCATCTACACCAAAGTCCCCGGCGCCATGAACTTAGGAAATGACCCGCTGATGCTGAGACCTCATGTGCCAGAACTAAGACTTGGGGTGGCTACCTGAGAGCCCCAGACTCTAACAACGCTTTCTCTGCCCAGGAGCTACAAAGCGTTTCTGCCTCCTCCGACAGTACCTTACGGCAGCGCGGGACTCTCGGGCAGGCACTCGGTCCTGAGCAGGAACCTTTATCCCAGTGGCTGGGGGCGATGAGACCGAAAGCCGGTTCTCCTGTCCCCGAGAAGGCGGTGGGGCAGCAAATGGTTAATGACTAGGAACTCACACTAGCACCTACCCAGTTCCCGAGCGCCCCCCGTCCCGGTCCAGGTCCCCCAGTGCCTGGTGTCAGCAGCTCCCACAACCTGGCTGCCCTGGGCCGGCAGATGAGTGGGGTCGCCGCACCCAGTGGAAGCTGATGGCATCTATCTCGGTCTTCACTCTGACGTTGGCTGCCTTCTGTGTAAACGGGGAGGTAGGTACGGGGACAGGCTGATGGGCAAAGAGGTGGAAACCCCGTTGTAGGCCAAGGGGGACTTTGCCTGCCAGAGCCCAAGGCTACAGATGACAGGTCACTTACTTAGACAATAATGCAATATCAAGTAAAAGAAAGTAAAACTCTTCCGAGGGCGCTGGGCCTCCACGATGTGCAAAGGGCCCCCGCTGACCTCAGCCGCCCAGCCCTCCCTCCCCCAGCTGAAAATCCGTGACATGGAAGGAGCCTCTCTTATCAGATGAGGCAGGGTCTTGTTTGTCTGTTTATCTGACTCGAGGGGTGAATTCCCGCCAGCCCGCCAATGCCGGGCTGCAGCTCTGCACGAAGCTCCCAGCCACAGACTCCTTCCTGGGCTGCCGGAGGCCTGTCGGCCGCCAACGCCTGGGGATGGCAGCGCACACGGCTGACCTGGGCCTGTGCGCTCTGCGGGGCCGCCAGGTCCAGAGCTTCCCGGCGATGCGGCCCCTGCACCTGAGGGTATCCCAAGGCGGCTGTGCCTGGGCCACTGTACCCCACGCTCGCTGCTGACTAGGGCAGAGGCTACATCTTTACTGTTCGTTTCCGGGCTAGAGCCCTGGGAGAAGGGCGGTGGCAAGATGTGCTGCCTCGAGTTACCCTAACTCCCACCAGTATTTTCAGAAGCACTGAGAAGCAGCAGCCCAGAACACCTATGCCCCTCCGGGGGACTCCTCCAGTGCCCCGAAACTGATGTTTGCACGTCCCCCCACAACAAACCCGAATCTACCCGGCAGCTGCAGCCTGAGCACCCACTTCCTGCTGAGTTCCCACCGCAGCCCCAAGGCAGCCTCACCCTCGGGGTCCACAGGGGCCAAGAGTCCACCCACCCTCCCTCCCCTGCCCCCAATCCGCACACGCAGCTCTGGGCCTGGGCCCCGCCACAACGTGGGCGGTCGGGGCCCAGCCAGGGGCCGCCTTCTGACTGTGCCTGCGGGGACAGTGCTGGGCCGCCAGACCGCCTGCCCGCCTTGGTCCTAGCAGAGTCGCTGCGGAGGCCCAGGCGAGCAGCCCCCCTCTCCCCTCCACACCCCTCCTCACCCTCTCTTAGGCTTCTGCGCCTTCACTCCTGAGCGGCCATATACCTTGAATGGGTGATCCCTGCCTGCCTCCCTCGGGCAGCCTCTCGAAGCCCTGGGGTTGAATATTAACCAGCCCAAGCTATAGAGTGGGGTAAAACGTTACATATAAAAATGAATCATCTATCTGATCCCGGAGAGAGAGGACCTATAGCAAGGTCTGCTTCTAGAACTGCCCTGGCCCATACACCCACCTGCTGGCGGCCAGCACCCAGGAACTGACTATTGCACCTGGGCTGAGCTGGGTCTGGGCGGAAGCCATGGAGTTATTGTACCAGCCTTTTCCCTTCAGTGACTTGAGGTTATATTTCTAAAACACGATTTTCCTTCCCCCTGTCTCACGCGAGGAACACAAAGAAGTCTGGAACTGCTTGCCTCTCACAAAAGTCAGGGGGAGCAACTGCCATTGAGATGCTGCCCACAGGGCCAAAAATCCAAGCTGAGCAGTGGATTCTGGTCCCCCGACAGCCCGGGGATGCTGGGTAGGCGGCTGGAGCAGGAGGCCACGAAACTCAGGCCCACCAGGCCTGGGGTCACACAAAGCACCTGTCCACGGGGCCTGGGTCACCTGAAAGCCCCACACTTCACTTGCCAAGGGCCCTACCATTTCTAACGCTGACCTACTTGCTTCTTTTTTCCCCCTTCTCCATTTATGTTTACTGAAGTAGAGCTGGTTTACATCCTTGTATTTGTTTTAGGGGTTACAGGTTCAAGCCTCTACAAATGTATGTTTTCACACCATGCCCACCACCAGCGCCCACAATAATCCTCCACCAAGTTTCATTGGGCGCCTCAGAAAGTCACAATGGTACTTAGGCACTGACTTCTGTGCTAGGCCAAATACACAGAGCATATGGAGAAAGAATTCAAGACAGCCACCTCCTGAGTTCTTGTGCCCCCACCTGGAAACTTCAGCAACTCCTGGTGCTCAGCACATCCCAGAATGGGAAGAGAATTCTTTTTGTGTATTTGTCTCTTTCCTGTCTAACCTCCCTCGTTCCCTCTCCCCAATTCAAGAAAAGAGATAAAGTAGATGCAAGCGAGACAAAAATGTGATGTTACCTAGAGCTTTTGGAATTGCCAACCAACTTGCAGAATAATTCTTGTGCCTCTTATGATAGTTTGATTCTTGTGCAAAACAGTCGCTTTATTCAAAATGCAATGCCTGACCCATAATAATCTCTCAGTAAATATTTTTTTGAAAGGTAACCCCCGTTTGGATCCCATTCTGACCTGTTCAAGGAAGCAAAGGAGTTTTTCACTGGGTGCTTATACCCCAATCTTTGTACTTAGGGCTGTGAGAAAGTGACTGTGGTGTGCATGGGTGGGGTGGTGGGGCTGCATCATTCTGTCACTCAGGAACAGGTCTTAGCTCCTTCACATGGCACTCCTTTCCTTTGGTGTGTTCACAGCTTGTGGAGTGACCCTGGCAATTTTTGCCAGGGGGCAGAGGATACCATCTGGGGAACAAGGTTTGCAGAGACTGAGCAGGCATCAGGCATGTGGCGAGGACTGTGTAAGCGTATTAGTGGACATTAATGGGTTCCAGGAGAAGTGGCTTTGAGTTCCAGATGTGGTCACAGGATGCTCACCACTTCATGTAGTGTCACAAGACAGAATGACACAGGACACACAGTATTCATGTCATTCCTATAGAGCAATACAGTTCAAGTTGGGGCGTCACCCAATTTTGTGGCCCCCATCCCCCTGAAAAGTAGAACTGACGCAAATGTTCTACCAGTCAGCTCCCAAGAGAGCATGAAAACGCCAAAGCACAGAGATAAAAAGAAGTATGAGTCACACCCATGGGCCCCCAGTGACTTAAGGGATTCAGACAGACAAAGGCGGCAAAAGAGGAGTTACTTTTAAAGGTGCAGGAGGTGGGGGCAAGGAGGAGCCTGCAGGCAAGGCAGGGTCCGCTCCAACTGTCTTCTCTCCACCGAACTACCACGTCATCTGACACCCTCGATCTATTTGTGTCCTGGGTAACAGACGGTTTGACCAAGAGGTCGTAGACTAGAGGACTTGGTGACTGGAAACAAGTTTGACAAGAAAGGAATCTGGGTGTGGTGCCACCATGGAGATGAAGAAGGAAACAGCCTGGCGACCCCACGTCTCTGTTGGACTCTGCATTCACCGGGCATGCCTTGCCAGAGAACAGGGGCCAGGACAAGCTACCGGCACAACTTCACGCATGCTCGGGAGAGAATCAGGCGCCTCTCCACATCCCCTTCCTTTACCTTTTACTTCCTGCCGCCTCACTTCCTCCTTTTATTTTTGTCTTCTTCACTTCGGTAGGCTCCTCCCAAATCCTGGATGTTCCTGGATTATCCTCAGCTCGGCCTCCCCCTTCTTTTGAATTAAGGCTTCAGATTTTTTTTTTCTTAGTGTTTACTTTTCCAGATATGAAAGTCGTCCTATCCAATCAGAGTCGGCCTGTAAAACATTTGTATGCACAAATAGGAAATGCTTTTACGAAAAAATTAAGGTGCCAGGGCCAACAAGCAAAGCACCAATATTGGAACGTGTCTGGTCAGGGCAACTGAACGACAGCACTTGTTCTGTAATAAAGCCCATTGACTCTGGGTACACTGGGAAGTACCCCCCCAAACACACACACACCCAGAACACTATAGTCACTTTCTCACACCCCTAAGTACAAAGATTGGGGTATAAGCTCCCACGGCTAAATCTCACTTCAGTTCACTGTTCTCAACTTGAAAGTTCTTCTTCCACCTGAAACTACCACCGGTAGACTTCCATTGCCAAAAGTGTGTGCCCCCAGAAAACACCTTCCTGTGCAGTTTATGTGCCAGTGTGAGGTCTTTCTGCATCTTTCCATACAAAGGTTGATTTTCCTAGTTCTACAGCCCATGGTCACAGGGTATTTTATGGCTCAACAGTGTATTTTGTGGCCATGCATCTTCCTTGTATGGTTGGGAAAACCCTTCCTTGGGGTCCTGCAATGCTTTCAGATTAGAACCTGGCAGAAAGACATCTCCTTCCCTGGAAAAGGTGCCCTATTTCCACTCTCTTTTCATTTCTGCTCTTCTAACTTCTTCCAACATCTCTCATAGGGGTGATTTTAAATCTCACAACTCCTCTTTTACTGTTTAAATTTCACTTCTGGGCACTCATTGTTCCAAACATAAAATTACCTTTTGAGCATAATACTCTTTAGTCACTTCTCATGTGGGATGTTTTAATATGAGTTAAGATTTTTAGGGTCATTTTCTTTTAAGCGTTCTGTGGGAACCTGGTACAGTATTACAAATATAGTGGATATTCAATAAATGTCTATTGATCAAATAGTATAATTAAAACCTTTCTTCACAAAAATCAAAGTTCAAAGACATTAAAATCAATTTGATTGACATGAGTTAAATCTCAGACTAATTGTAATTAATTTCTAATATTTTTTTAAATTTTTTTACATCGGTGTTCTTTTTTTTTTTAAGATTTATTTTATTTATTTATTTATTTATTTATTTATACAAGCACTGGGTACAGTCAGAAGTGCGGGAGGGTGAGAGAATTCACCAGAGCCAGAGCGGGGAGCAGAGCAGGCAGAGGGACCGAGGTACACTGCTGAGAGGAGCAGTGGGCAGCAGGAGAGGTCTGTGCACCATGTGGGACCCTCCTCCAGTGGCCTGGGAGCAGCCGAGGATCGAACTGGCGCTGCAGAGGCTGCGGGCAGCTTTGCAACCCAGCGCTCAACCGCTGAGCCACCGGGGAGGCCCCCATCGTTGTTCATTTTTAAACTATATTTACTCCCCCTCACCCCCTCAGGTGTAGTCCCCACAGAGTTTCCTTCCCCAGTGCACCCGTGCACCATCACCTCAGTCTCCTGTGCTCCTCCCTCCCTCCCTCTGATCCCTCTCCCTCCTCCCCTGCAGGATGTCTCTGGTTTATAATTGTCTGTTTTTGCTTTGTTGTGTTTTGTACTGTTATTATTTTTTTACACTGATGTCTTATTTGGCTCCCCTGTATTCCTGCTATAAGTGAAACCATCCAATATTTTTATTTTTCCTTCTGGCTTATTTCACTGAGTATAATCCCTTCTAGCTCCATCCAAGTTGCTGCAAATGGCATGAGTTTATCAATTTCTAATCTTTTTCTCAACAAATGAAACATGTAAAAGAACTGCAGAGCAGAAATCTCATCCTACTCTTTTTTATCCTCACCTTTTCCTATGTCACAGCATTTTTAGGGTGACAATTCATCACAGCATTCATCATCTTTAAGGTGATGATCAGGGTTCATAAAGTAGTGGACAAATTTCTGTATTTTTTAATATTCCTCTACTAAAATAAAGACTTTAAAAACACATTGCCGGGCCTCCCTTGTGGCGCGAGGGGTTAAGATGCAGCAACATGAAGCCATCTGCAGCCACTGCAGTACCAGTTCGATCCATGGCCAGGGAGCTACCCACATGGCACAGCGGACCTCTCCTGACTCGCCCACTGCTCCCCTCAGCAGTGTATTTCAGTCAATCTGCCTGTTCTGGTCCCTACTCTGTCTCTGGTGAATCCTCTCACCCCCTGCATCTCTGGCCTGCACCCCAGCTCTAGTATGCATAAATAAATCTTTAAAAAAAAAACACATTGCCTACAGAATGTATGTGGTGAGTAAGCAGAAAGATGATAATGATGATGATGATGATGATGATGATGTGTGTGTGTGTATCGGGGTGTGGGGCAGGCAGAGACATGGCTGGAGCTTTCAGCTTACAATAGTCAGGACCTGGATCACTCATGTTAAGAGAGTATTGGCTTCATTCCTCACAATTATTTCATACTTTTAACAAGTTCACATTTTATAATATACAATAAAACACAGTGTATCAAAATATACTATGGACAAAGTTGTTTTTTTCATTTTTATAGTGAAAGACAAGGAAACTTGATAGGCTAAAGGTGTTAGTCAACTCCCAAAACAACACAAAAGTATTAATCCAATCCAATCCAATTAATCCAAACTTTGACTAAAGTCATAGGCCAAACAAACTGCATTCTGATTGCAGCTAATCATTGCCCAGTAAGCCTATTTTTGATTAATTTTATTGGCAGCAAAATATTGCTTAGCTCACTCACCCCATCCACTCCCACTTTCCAGCTGCTACCATAAACAATAGCACCTGTCATGAGTAATGATGGGAAGAGTAGAATTGCCTTTGATAAGACAATTATGAAACATTTAATAATTCCATTATATACTAGAAAAAATGTTTGCCATATTATGCTGAATAAAGCAAGCAAATACATATATGAACAAACAAATAAATGTAGGGAGTGAAGTGGGCGGGAGTGCAGAGTCTGCTGTAGTTTATAGGGTTTCCTCAGACCCCAGTCTCTGCTGCAGAATCACTGGTCCTGGACTTGTGGTTGCTTAGAAGGCACTCCAGGGAAGATTAGATAGCCGGAGATTTAAAATATCAAGGGGGTGGATGACTAGGAACTTAAATAATATGATAGAGTAAGCAAACTGTCTTTGACTGGCTTGAACACTAGAATTAGCATCTAAAAAAAAAGATTTCCTGGGCCTCCCTGGTGGATGAAGGGTTAAATATCAGTGCTATCACTGCTATGGCCTGAGTTCCATCCCCAGCTAGGGAGCTGACCCACAGGGTACAGCAGACCTCTCCTGTCTCCCTGCTGCTCCCCTCAGCAGTGTATTTCAGTAGATCCACCTGTTCTGCTCCCCACTCTGTCTCTGAGGAATCCTCTCACCCCCTGCACCTCTGGCCTACACCCCATTTCTTCTCTCCAAAAAACAAACAAAAATTATCTCCACACTCATAAATCTATGGGCTCATGTTACTTTCACAATCCTGTAGTTCTAGTTGTACTATTAGGTTTTGACATCATTTTATGTATAATCTTTTCTAAATATAGTTATCACTTGTGCCAAAGACCACTTAGTGAATACTTTGTAAAAGCCAAGCACTGTACTAAGTGCTTTCCACATGCTATCTTCTCAGTTCTCACAACAACCCTATAAAGCAGATACTATTATTTCCTTATTTGGGAGATGAGAAAACTAACTCTCAGAAGTAAATGGCTTCAGACTTCTTGGCTAATGTGGGTGAATTGGGTGTACAATCTGACAACGTCTGTCCTCCCAGCCCCTAAACAAACTGCCATGGTAAAGAATTGCAAGGCTTCTGTGTCAGTTTCTGTTGACCTGATGAGAAAATGCCATTCATAAAAGCAAAACATATTAAAAATGCTACAAGAACATTAATCCCTATTAACGAGGTAGAGTATTTTAAAAAAATAATGATGATGTAGACCAAGTCAACCAAATGTCAAGTTGTTCTCATTGTTCACATGTATTTCCAGGCACATTTCTTAGCCTAAAGCAGTAGACAGAACTTCGCTAGATATTTTGAAAGCAACATTTTTGATATAAGGAACACACACACACACACACACACAGAGTCCAGTTGGTGTATGATCAAGTGACTTTTCCTTGGTCTTGCACACTATGACCTGCTCCCTTTTTTCTTGCCTCTCCCACCCACATTCTCCCGTGTAGAGGCGATCTCTAGGTCTCACCTTAGATATACTCTGGAAAAGGTCTCTCTGACATTTTGGCATTGGCAGAGGTCAATGTGCCCCTCCTGTGTGCTTCCATAGTCATATTAAAGCACATCGCACGCTGCCCATGAACCTCATGCTGCTGGATTAGAGGCCACTTATCAGTCTGTGTATAATATAATACCTTCATGTGGTTAGATTATGCATACTCTGCAATATTCAAGAAAATCACATTTGTGAAGCTGTGTTCTTCGGCACATAATATCCAGTTAGACAATATTTGGTGATGTCACACTAATTACTTATTTAAGGCAGTGTCTGCTAGCTTCTCTAGCGTGTTATTTGTTCCCGCTGCCTTAGTTAGCATTTCACCAGCAGCTTCACAGAGAGGAGTGAAAGCCTCCTGCTGAGAACCACAGGAGTGAGTTTGGAAATGGGCTTGCTGGCTCTTCAAAGGACTGCAGCCCTGGGTGGCAACTTCACTGCAATCCAAGGCATTCCCCCAGATCCCTGACCCTCAAAACTGCATGAGGTAATATGTAGTTATCAAGTTAAGATGCTAAGTTTTGGAGGAGTCTGTTCCATTGCAACAGTCAACTATTGTTATACCCTGTATAACTACTTCCTATCTTATAAAAGTCTTGTCACCGTTCAGCTTTTCTTTTTTCTCTCCTTCTTTGCACATATGGGTTAATTCTGATCTCTTTTCTATTTTGCTGCCACATTCATAGCATTTGGGGGAAAAGAGAGCTAAACAAATGTATTAGGTTGAACGAATTTTGCCAAACGTCTGAGGATATGAAGCTGAAGCATGGATTTGAAGGAGAGGAAAGGCTAGGACTGAGTGATGCCGTGAAAATAAAGCCCTAAGATGAGGATCTATGTGAGCAACACTAAGTGCCAGAGAAAGACATTTATCAAAAATAATGAGCAACTGAAAAAGATTTTTTTGTTTCATATTGAATAAATCCAATACTGATTCTTTTAAAGCATAATTTTAAAAAAAGATTTATTTTATTTATGCATACAAGAATTGGGGTACAGGCAGAGGTGCTGGGGGTGAGAGGATTCCCCAGAATGGGGAACAGAACAGGCAGACTGACTGAAATTCACTGCTGAGGGGTGCAGCGGGTGAGACAGGAGAGGTCTGCTGCGCCATGTGGGCCACCTCCCTGAACGGGTATTGAAATCTGCAGAGCCTGCGGATAGCTTCACGGTGCTGTGTTTAACCCCTTGCACCACCAGGGAGGCCCTAAAGCATAATTTTCGGAATACTTCTTTTGTCTGTCTAGTACCACTCTCCTTCTGGAAACAGAAATGTCCCCCTTGCAGGACAACCTACTCATCTCTACTCCAGCTACACTGTCCAGTGGAGACTGCCCATTATGGATCTGGTCTCTGTTCACAAGAGCAGGCATGTGCCTGGGCTGGCTCTTGGGTCGCTCCGTGGGAACATGCAAACGGGAGTCAGAGGCGTCCTTGTCATGATGAAGAAATGAGATGGCAAAAGTGGGGTTCTCCAGGGCAGGTGGTGGCATTTCCAGTAACACAGAAAGCCAACTCAGAGAGAAGCAGATGAGAGCTGGACCGGGGGAGAGTCCTGGACTGCTCCCTGTCCCTCTGACCCTTAGGCTTAGTTAACTCTATTCCCTCTCCAGGATTTCCATACGTAGGTCACTTTATTTCCTGGTTTCCCCAAGGTAGTTCAAACAGTGTTTCTGTTACTTGCAACTCAAAGACAATGCCCCCTTCCCTGGCCCAAGAAAGAGTCTTCTTTCCTGGGGGCATCAGAAGGAGGTATATATTTGGAACCACGATTTGAGATAGACTTTTGGGATCCTAAGGGGGTCAGGTGTAACTATAAAATGTCACCTGCCAGTGGTCCTCTGCTAGCACCACCTGAGAAGTATGAAGGTGGTGGGGGAGGAGATCTGTGTCCACACACTCACATTCACACACACACACACACACACACACACACACACACACATATCCCTGTTTACATTTTTTTATGCCAACACAATAATATTTATTGAAGTTCTATTATATTCCAGGCACTTTCACAAACATCTGTTCTGCATTAGTCTAAGAAAGTAGATTTTCAGACTGTTCCTAATTACAGATGAGCTAATACCTTTAAGATAAAAGATGTTAAGTAGCAGTCTTTATAAAATTTGAAAGTTATGAGCAAAGACCTATTCTGCACCCCTTCCTGTACCTCTTTTGCGTTTAACCACCACTTGGATGTCTCTTTTGCCACTATAATAAAAGGTTAATCTAAGAAAGGTGAAAGATTTTAAATACAAATACAACTTCAGATACTTACCTGGTGGGGGAGAACCATGATCACAAAGGTGGGTTTTCCAGGGCTGGCTCATCCATTGCACTCCAGATGTGCTGACCCCGGTGATTTCCCCCAAATGTGGGATCTTCCCAAATATGGGAAATACGACAGCATCATTTGTGGTAGTGGGGGGGCTATGTTCACACTCTCCTCTGGAAAATAAAAACAGTTTTCAGTATTATTCTTTGAATGGCTTTTTCTCCAAAACATTTCAAGAAGATTATAAAAAATGAACAAAAAGAAGATTATAAAAAATGAACAAAAAGTCCAAATCAAACTTTAACTAAATAGTGTGATTTATCGTACAATTCTGGCTTTATTCATATATGTTTGTGTCATCTAGACATCTGGCCCAAAATAAGTCACCCAAATCTACATAAACAGACTTATGTTTGGAAGAGTCATGGTGTTCAAGATATTAATTTCACGCTTGATTATTACTTTGAAAGTTAACAATAGTGTTTGCCCAGGAACTTCTCATATGTTTTATTTTTCCCCTTGGCCTTCCCTGGGGGGAATGTTTAAAATAGCTTAGAGCTCTCTTCTGAAGAAAAGTCCACAGTGGCTGAAATATAATTTATTTAAAATAAATTATATAAAAAAATATATATAATATAAAATTATATAAAATAAAATATAAACTATATAAAATATATAAATTATATAAAATATAATTTATATATTTTCACATGTAAATTTAGAAGTGAATAAATAAATTAATAAATAAATTAAATAAAGTGTATTCTATAGATTTAAGTCTGTGCCTGTTTCAAAAATTATTTTTTTCTCGCTCACTCGAAAAAAAGTAATTTCTTGACTCCCTGCTTTGCATTTACATTTTTAATCCTGTCTTCTATGCCCCTCCAGTGTTTTTAAATTATTAGATGTACATATGTATTCAAAATATAATTCATATGTTTCTGATTATTAAAAAATCCATTTAACAAAAAGTTATCTAACACAATTGCAACACTGCATGCTAGAAACAATAGTGAAGACGGAGATAATGATCACCTATTAGTATGTGTCTTATACCTAACACCTTCCTCAGTGATGACAACAAACTTAAGAAATGGGCACTGAAAGGTCTACTTTACATATCGCTTCTCGGCCTTTTGGCTAAGATCAAGTGAAAGGTCTACTTTACACATGAGGAAACTGAGGAGCCAAGAGATTAATTTGTTCAAGATCATCCAGCTAGCAACTGCTAATGCTGAATTCAAACATGGGGTTGGTAGGGCCTCCCTGGTGGCCTAGGGGTTAAGTCTCAGCACTATCACTCACATGACCTGAGATCCATCTCTGGCCAGGGAGCTGACCCACATGGTGCAGCAGACCTCTCCTGTCTCGCCTGCTGCTCCCCTCAGCAATATATTTCATCAGTCTGCCTGTTCTGTTCTCCACTCTGTTTCCGGTGAATCCTCTCACCCTCCCACACATCTGGCCTATACCCCAGCTCTTGTATAAAAATAAATAAATATTTAAAAAAAGTTTGGGGTTCACTGTGTAGGCACTGAGCTGATGGGAGTGAGGTTTTTGAGGATAATAATGAATGGATAGATGCTGTGCTTTAGTATGTTGGTGTGGCAAGGATGTGTGACAGAACTGCTACAAGAGCAGACAACAAGGTTTAAACTGGGGTATCAGAGTAAGGAAGGAGACAGACTGGAGAAGGATAGCCAAACAATTACACTGAATGATAGAGTTTAGGGAAAGGACAAACTCACAAAAACACCAAGATCTTGAGTTTATATAACTGATTAATGAGGCCATTAGCAGAAACAGAGAAACACTTTTCATTTGAAGAGGAATTTTCTGAAGTTAGGTGAATAAGAAAGAGAATGGTGGCAAGGCACATCCTGAGAAATATATTTTTGCAGTTCCAACATCAGAAGTCCAGATGTTCCTGGTAGAGAATTCACCAACTGGCATGTTCAACCAGGACTGACATTACTGAGAGGTCAGGCTGATGACAACTTATTATGGTCTGTAAGGCAGCCAACAGTCTGCCCAACCATTTTCATGTATTTGTACTGGATCAGAAAATCCACATGATTAGATGCCCTAATATGAATTAAGGCATTGACTGGAGATGGTCCCTAAATTTTAATAGATTGCCCAATTTCTTCCTTATCAAAAGTTGTGCCATGTTGAGTGGATTGAGGGAGATTAAAGAAGCATCCCCTCTTGGGCCTCCCCTAGTGGCGCAGCGGTTGAGCGCTGGGCTGCTGCAAGGCTGCCTGCAGCCTCTGCAGTGCCGGTTCAGTCCTCAGCCCTTGCTGAGGGTCCCACATGGCGCGACAGACCTCTCCTGCCATGCCCGCTGCTCCCCTCAGCAGTGTGTTTCGTCAGTCTGCCTGTTCTGTTCCCCACTCTGGCTCTAGTGAATCCTCTCACCCTCCCGTGCATCTGGCCTGTACCCCAGTGCTTGTATAAATAAATAAATATTTTTTTTAAAGTATAAATAGACCCCCCCCACACACACATGTTTAGCAATGTTTAAAATTCCATAACTTAGCATACTTAATAGTTCACAGTAGGGAGTATTGCTGACATGACAGAATTAGATTCAAAGAGATCTGAATAGTCCAGAATACAGAATTAAAACTACAATGATAGATGTGGCTAATTTTAGTTGTTTTTACAGCCTTGATATGGGGTAATTTTTGTTAAAAAAATACAGAGTTAATGCCAAAGGGCATAAAGCTCTGTAGCTAATTGGATATTGTGGGAAATAATGATTTGTGGCTTCCAGGGCTATGGCATAAAATAGCTGACTGTCTCTACCTGGTTCTCTTTTAGATCATGGTGGGGAAGTAGCATGAGGCATGAGGACATACAGGCAGCCCTTTCAAGAGACCAAAGTGGTAAGGAATTGAGACACAGCAAACAGCCAATATGAATGTTTCTGAAGCAGAACCCAAAGCTCTAGTCAAACTTTCCAATGTCTACAACCTCAGCCACTGTCTTGAATGCAACTTCATGAAATACCTGAACAAGGAACCCTTGGCTAAACTGCTCCCAAACTCCTGCTTCTTCACAGAAACGAAGATAATAAATGTCTACTGTTGTTTTGAATCACTACATTTTGCGGTAATTTGTAACACATAATAGACACTAAATCTGGAGTGGGTTGCTACCATAACAAATCCTAAAAATGTGGGGAGAGGCACTGGAATTAGGTAGTGGCAGAAACTGAAAGGACACTGAAGAGTGTGCTAATGGAAGCTGAGAATGTCTCGAACAGACTTTTATTATTAGCCTGAAGGCCTGTGAGGAGGCTGCTGGTGAGAGAAACACTGCTGGAAACTGGAGAGAAGGAAGAGAGTTTTAATATAGTGACAGAAATTGAACAACACTGTCACCCACAGCAGTGTGGGAACTGGAAATAAACCTGACGATAGAAGGTCTGGTTAAGGGTGTTTTAGTGAGTGTTGAAAGTGCTGCTTGGTTTCTTCTTGCTGTTTACAGTAAAATTTGAGGTGGGGGGAGATAAACTAAAGGAAGAATTATTAAACCAAAAGAAACCAACACTTGATGACCTAGAAAATGGCGACTCTCTTAAGAGGGGAAATAATGCTAAGACAAAGAAATAGCTTCTGGGCAAAGATCAAATCCAAGCACAGCCAGACAAAAGATGTACATAAATGAAGCTGAGGGTAGGTGATAAGATAGTCTGCTAACATCTTAGAAAGATCTAAGTTGTACAGGGGTGGTTTTTGTGTATTGGGAAAAACCTTAGAAATATTCATAGGAGACTCACAAAGTTTTTAGAAATATTTAATTGCTAGAAACATCAGCCTGTGGGACAGAAAGGAACAGAGGTAGAACAAAAGGGAAAGAGACCTTTGGACCTCCACGCTTAGACAGGTAAGATCCAGACTAAGAAAAATACACAGCTACAAACTAAGTCACCTTTTATGGAAAGGTTGACTCAGCAAACCAAGAGCCTAAAGGTCAGAGCCAACAGTCATGGAAAATCATTTCTAGGAAACAGCAGGAAGGGTTCTAATCAAATAACTTGCCTAGCTGTATTACAGAATAGTTATGGATCCTTTAAAAAGCAATATAATGGTTATTCTATTCCTACCCTACCATTGTAAGTTGATTGTGTTTATGTGGGGGAGGTAACCAAAATGTCTCCTCCACATCTGGGCCTGGTTGAGATGACAAGATTGCAGACTTGAGATGACACTGTTATGGGATGGACTTTTGGAGGCTTTGAGAAGCTGTGAGTTTACTTTAAATGTGGGAGGGAGGGTAGTCCCTGGGAGATCAAGGATGGATTCTAGTGCTAATCTCCAACATGGTCCCCAAATAATTCTTTTTTTAAAAATGATTTTATTTATTTATTTTTAAAGATTTTTATTAATTAATTTATTATTCATTTATTTATACAAGCACTGGGTACAGTCAGAAGTGCAGGAGGGTGAGAGAATTCACCAGAGCCAGAGCGGGGAGTAGAGCAGACAGAAGGACCGAAGCACACTGCTGAGGGGAGCAGCAGGAGGCAGGAGAGGTCTGCGCGCCATGTGGGACCCTCCTCTGGTGGCCGGGGAGCAGCCGGGGATTGAACCGGCGCTGCAGAGGCTGCTGGCAGCTTCGCAACCCAGAGCTCAACTGCTGTGCCACCGGGGAGGCCCCAAGATTTATTTTATTTATTTATGCATACAAGAATTGGGGTGTAGGCCAGAGGTGTGGGGTGGGTGGGTGGTGAGAGGATTCACCAGAGACAGAGTAGGGAGCAAAACAGTCAGTTCTACTGAAATACACTGCTGAGGGGAGCAGTGGGCGAGACAAGAGAGGTCTGCTATGCCATGTGGTTTAGCTCCCTGGCTGGGGATAGAACTCAGGCTGCAGTGGCTGGTGATAGCTTGACAGCGCTGACACCTTACCCCTGCACCACCAGGGAGGACCCCCAAATAATTCTTGCCTCCTGGTATTCATGCCCTGTTTATTTCCCTCCGACACTGGATAGGGCCTCCTGTGTAATCAATAATGTGGAAATGACAATGAGTGGCTTCCAAGACTAGGACAAAAAAGGTATTGTAGCTTCTGCATTCTTTCTCTTGGATCATTCTCTCTGGGGTAAGTTACATATAATGACATGACAGGAGGACAAAGAAGTTCTAAGGAGAGGTCCATGTGGAAGAATGGAGACAGCATGAACTTGACATCCTGTCTCTATTGCTCTAAGTGAGCCATCTTAGAAGCAGATCCTCCAGCCACAGGCAAGTTTTCCAAGGGATGTAGTTCCAGCTGAGATTTAACTGTAACCTCACAAGAGACGCTGAGTCAGGATCATCCAGCTAAGCTGTTTTGAAATGTCAGAGTCACAAAAATTGGGTAAGATAACAAATGTTTGCTGTTTTCAATCACTGAATTTTGGGATAATTTTTTTATGCGGCAACAGGTAAATAATACAGTGAACTACAATTTCAGTGTGAGGCAACAGTTTGAAATGACGGCTTAAAATCTTATGTTTTTCAACTGCACCAATTGAATAAATGTTCCATATCAACTGCGCTTCTAGGTTTACACCAATTTAAGATACTGCATATAGTTTGAGACATATAGCTTAAAAAGACTAGGAAGGGCCTCCCTGGTGGCACAAGGGGTTAAGACGCAACCTATGAAGCTGTCCACAGCCACTGCAGCACCAGTTTGATCCCTGGCTAGGGAGGTGACCCACGTGGCACAGCAGACCTCTCCTGTCTTGCCTGCTGCTCCCCTCAGCAGTGTATTTCAGTCAGTCTGCCTGTTCTGCTCCCCGCTCTGGCTCTGGTGAATCCTCTCACCGCCATCCCACTGCCCCTCTGGCCTACACCCCAGTTCTTGTATGCATGAAAAAAAAAAGTAGGAAAGGAAAGCCCTGGGCTAGAATGTTGGATACACTTTGCAGAATAGCTTCAAGATTGTTTTCCAATCTGTTTTACATTTATCCACTAACCCACAATAAATAGCAGATTTGTGGGAACTCCCTTTATACACAAACCTCCAAAGTCCTGTAGATGTTTCATCACAGGTGACTTCATGAACATTCTGCAGACCCATGGAAGGCAAATAGTTCTTTCTCAATCACATGGGTAGCTAGAAACAAAGCAGAAACACCACTGTAGGAGGAAGAAAGCTTTAATTCTCCTTTTTTGGTCTAAAGGTTAAAAAAAACCAACAACTGGGATAGAAGTATTTTCTGAAGATCCAGATTCAGCTCTGGCCTCATTTTAAAGCCAAATCTTGTAGATTAGAATGATTCACAAGATTTAAAGTCAACTGACATATCACAAAGCACAAAGATAAGCCTGAATCATTTTTTCCCCAGTATTCATTTCATCATCTATTGTTTCAGTTTTATCTAAAGGGTCCGCTATGCGCCATTGGTATAACTGTGAAGCTGTCAATCAGATAAGGAAAGTCAGAAAATTGTTGACCAAGGTGTGGGAAAGATCTGAGGATTCTTAACTTGGAGTTCTCAGTGTAACCCAATTTTGGTGTCTCTAGAGAGAATTATTATTTTTCTTGAATAATAAAAATAAAACTACACAGAAGGTAAGTTGATGTCCTCACTCTTAAAAATAACTCAGGAATTACTGCTAGAAAAATATTTATAATTATAAAAACAATGATACGGCTGTAACACTGCTATTTATCTTATTTACCTAATGCATAAGATAATTCTGTCTAATGCAATTTCTTTAAACAGAACCGTGGAAAACAAAATCAATATTTTTCCCAGCTGACTCTAGAGTTATGAAGCAGTCTGCTCTCAGTTTTTCCATCTATAAATTGGGGTTAATCTTTATGTAGAACATATGAATGTCATACAGATCTTGATTTGTTATCTATTGTGCTTTGAAGATAAAGATCTTGATCATTATATTTTAAAAATAGGTCCATTTATAAAATTTATTAAGACAGTAATCATATTTCCACTAGAATAATGTATATTAAAATGTCAACCTTAAGACTGGAGTAAACATTTTTCTTTGATATAACACAGGCTCAATGTCCTGAGCTCTTCCCCAAGAATGTAAAAGGCCATTCTAAAATTGCTGTCTCGGAAAAATTTTATGTCTGAGATCTTTTCTTATCATTGTTCCTCCAAGCTAAGCCTCCCAAGTAATCTTTCTACCCTCATTGTTTTTATTTTATATCACCAGTATACATTAAGTAGAAAAATATCAAGGCAATGTGTTAGCAAATGCATGAGCAACCAGACGTGGATACTTGCCTACCAAGATCTCAGTTAATATATGGGGATTTTTAGACACTAGTTCAAAGTCCTTAAGACTTTTGCTCTGTAACTAAGGGTGAATATCTACTTTTTTTTTTTTTTTTTTACTTCTTACAAAATATGCTCTTAGTCTATAAGGCTTCACCCTCCTTGGGATCCACTGGGATTTACATTTATAAACTGTAAATACACAAAAGGCCAAGAGCCAAGGCTTTCTAAATAGGTATAAATTAGTCTTCCTTGCAGTGGTAACATGAGGTAATCCTAATTGTCAAGGAAATGGAGAACATTCATTTTCAACATATATTGCGATTAAATTCAGTTTATTTAGAATCTGCAATGCTCGGGATTTAGAAACTAGGAAATTTATAAGAAAGTATATTTCTGATAATGATAAGAGTACTCTTCATATTGGATGGCCATTTATGTGTGACGTTAAATATTTAAGAAATTGAAAAATTAATGTACTTAGCTTCCTTCTTAAAATGGTCTTTTAATTCTAAATCCAAACTATGTTTGACATTTATTTTAAGGTCATTATAGCATATGCTTAATAAAATATCACCACAATGTTTTTAAAGCCGGAGTACAGTTTATTTAGGTGCTTACTATCTATAATGGGAGCTAACATATCATTTAAAAGGAAAATAAAATCTAAAATGCAGAATGAACAGATTTCTATGTTTCAACCATTTCAACAAATTATCTGCCAATACCAAAATATGTCATTGTTATCAGTATATAAAATATTTACAAAAGTTCAATATTCTTTTTATTTAATTCATCTCTTAAAGGGAGATTGTTATAGTGTTGACTTCAAAGAAAATTAATCCATCCTCAATTTATGTAATCCTTAACCCTAATCTATTTCAATTATGGCTCTTCCTTGGTAGCTCTGATATTTATACTTTAATTTGTAATATAACAGTTGAAATTAATCAGTGCAACAAAGGATCTAAATCTTCATATTTAACAATATAACTTCATGGAAACTTTGATAGACTTTTATAGTTTTTCAGACTGAAATTTTTTAGAAGGTCTTTAGGGAAAAGAGTTTGGGGAATGCAGTTTGGAGAACATCTGGCCCATCTACATGCAAAGAAATAGTAGTAAATAATCGGAGCCGCCAAAATTGATGATTTATATTTTAAACATGTTGCATATACTGGAAGACTCTAAAGCTTTTATCTAAACTCTGAGACCTTATAATTTTCTAGTGATAAGAAAAAGGAGGAATACTACTCCTTTCAGGAAAGGGTTTGAGGCAGTTCTCTCAACACACACTTTTTTTTTTAACATTAGTGTAATTAAATTACTAGGGAATTTTTTATTTTTAAAGGATCATTAAATTGGATCTTATTTACATTTGATCTTCAAATCCTAAAGTATACCACCACACAGAAATTCACTAAATATGTTTTGAATTAATTGCTTCACACATAAAACTACCATTTAAAATTCAGGATCTTTTATATTACTACATTTGGCATTAATTAAATAATAATAATTCAAAGTTTATTTTGTTTTCAAGGGCCAAATCTGTATCAGTAAACATTAAAATTTAGCAGGCGATCGTAAGTTGATACAATTATTATAAATAATATTAACCCCATATTAACTTTTATTTAATTATGTATTTTCTGGCTAAAATCTCAAGTATTAAATATATCAAATAGGATCCAAATCTACATGAACGGTGGTGGTTAAGTCACAAGCAGCTAAAAAATAAAAATGTACAGCAGAAATTGAGTAAGTCTGAACATCTGTCACTTATGTTGCTAACTGGAATAAGTATCTTTATTCAGTTGACTCTGGAGTTTATTTGCATTTAAACCAGACACTTGGAAACTAGCTATTGTTACTGTGATTGCTGTTGAACTTTTAATGGATTCAATGCCGTGCCAGTTTTAGCAGGCAGTAATTTCTTGTCTAAACATTAAAAAAAAAAGTGAAAATTAAAATATAATAGAAATGCTAGATGTTCAGTTTGAGTTTTATAGCTTGGACCTAGTCTAATATTTTCAAGTTCTTTTTTTTTTTTCTACTCAGGTATTTTGAGGACACCTTTAAACAACTCTTGGAGAGACATGACATCTTCACTGAGATGTCTCCCGGATTTTGCATATTTTTATTCTTGAATGAGGTTAAAGGTCAAGCTCCACTCTGGCACTGCTCAATATACAGAGCTAAGTAATACAAGTTTACTAAAATGAATTGCTCCCTCTAGTGAATTCACAGTATTACTTCACTTTTGGCACTGCTGCTCTGAGTAATTTAATAAATGATATAAATGATGATGACTATGAGGTTGATGATAGTGGTCTGGCTACTTTTGTGATACTAAATTTTAATGTTTTCTGTGCTTGAATAGGGAAGTTTCAAAATGATTGATTATAACTGTTTGCTGGATATTTTAGAACACTACACTTAAAAACCCTGTGTTGAGAAAATAATTTATTTCTAAAACTCTTTGGATTACTTCTGAAGCATATTTGGCACCATGTCATTTGAACGGCTATGACCATGTTGACATGAGCAAAGTAAAAAGGGGGATTTAAAGCAATTGTCCTAACAATTAAAAGAATGTGACGATGGAAATAAGCTCAATAGGAAATCTAATCCTAGACTTGATGCCAATACCGCAGAAAAATTAAGCAGCCAAAAATGTTGTTCAACTAATATAATTCAATTCATACATAGATAGCCTATAAATATATTCAAATAAAAAGATATGAAAGTCCTTGAAGTTTTCTTTACATTCTATCACAATACCTGAATAGACAGCAAATAGTGGGGCTGCTGTGGAAGGAAGCACATTATTTAATAATCTTCCATTGATGAATGCAGACCTAGCCTTAAAATAATTCATTTTAAATCACAGGAAGAAGAAATTCAGCCTGACAAGTTATCCAGGTGATCACATTTACATTACACGTGACAACAATAAGAGCATAAAACAAAACAAAATCGGTTTTGTTTTCCTTCCAAGCTGAATTTCATTTTCTGGGGGATGTGGATGGTTACTTTGGTTCTCCACCACTTTGCCTGAATAGACAAAACCTTTTAGCGATGTAATTTCAGTTAACCGAGCAGATGGCAGGGGTTACCAATCCCACCCAGTTGTTTTTCTGTATCAGTAATAACAGAGTAACTCCATCAAGTTTGATGTAGTTTTCCCCTTCCAAGTGCTTAGCAAATATTAATTCATCTTTGCAGCACTCCTGTGAGGGAGCACGACTTTTTAATAAGTAAAATATAATAAAATATATTCTAATTAATTTATTTGAGAGCACCTGTGAAAGACTAGCAGTGAATCTCTCAAAAATTAAATGATTATATTAATGACATGAAAGAAGGGAATATTGTCTCAGGACGCGCTTTTTCTTTGCAGTTTCAGGAGGAACTCAAGGGCGTCAGGGGCCTGTCAAGGCATAAAAAAACTCCTGTTTTCTTTCTAACTTTTCAAATGAAGGAACAACTGGCAACATTTCCACAGAGTCGTGACTAAGTCCGGGCAGGGACAACCTCGGTCTCTCCCTCAGGGCCGTTCCTTCCCGGGGTTCCCCGGGCCCCCCCAAGCGTGGACGCGCCGCCCCGCCCCACCGCCCTGGGCGCCCCCTGGGCGGCTCCGGTTGGCGGGCGTGGCGGGGAGTCAGTCAGGTTGGGTGGAGTGGGCGGCCCAGTCGCTCCCCATTAGGGTTTCCGTCACCGCCAGGCCTTTCCAGGAGCTTCCCTCGTCCCCTCAAGCTCCAGTGCGCCATTTACCTCGGGAAGCCTGAAGCTTCGTCCCGGCTGCCCCGCGCGCCTGGGCCCGGGGAGGGCGCGCTCTGGCGCCCCAT